GTCAAGTGTATCAGAGGGACATCATTTTTCAGTTACGAGGAGCGCTTGTGATCTTTGAACTGTTCAAGTGTGTTTAAAAGGTGAAGTTTATGGATTATAGATCTGACATTAAGCAAAATCACTGAAGATATACTGTATATTACCGTGTATAAACCTTCAGCGTAAGTCGGTATATTATCTGATCTCCAAAAAATCAGCAAAATGAGAAACCTAATTGTTTCTCATGATTTTGACTGCATCATTACCTGCTCTCACTTGAGTGTGCTCAAGCAAAAGCTGCTCTGGTCTTGGTCAGTTTTGGCGACCTAATATTTTGTGAACATAGTTGTTTGGGCTTAGAGACGTCAGAACGGATTTTAACCGCACTGGACAGTGTATTGATTAGATGACAAGTCACACGAAACGAGTAAGGCAGCCGGCAGTATGGCGTAAGGTAAAAGCGTATGTCAGACTCCGCCTGGCATAATCGGGGGCCTCATGCATCTGTTTGGAGGTTCGGACTCGGATTCTAGTTTCGAAGGATTCGAGTATTTTTACTACCATTGTGCAGCGTCCGGATATGTGAGCCTATAAAATCTGCTGGAACGTGCTGTTCTGTCATGTCTTTTTCCAATGTTATTGTGTGTGATGGTGTTCGCTTCTGTGTAATCAAAGTTTCTGTTACCGCCATCCATCGCGAAAGTCAAAAGTGCAATATGCCGATAATTTTCGACGCACACATAATGTGTCTACCTATAGGCACTTTAAATCCCCGCCTGGGATACCGTGTCACCAGCTAGTGGTGCTAAGACCAGATGGGGGCATAGGTGTGCAGTGAATTTATGGATGGATCTTGCCTTTGAATTTTTCAAATTGCGCATAACATGGTATAAGCCTACGGACATGGAAAATTTTACAAAATTCCTCGGCTTTTACACGGTAAAATACGGTACTATGTGTTGGGGAATTGCGGCTGTCTGCTGCATGCTCGCTTAGGTCTCTGGGTTCGAGCATTGTGCACATATTAGGTAAGTGCGAAAGTAGTGCGCTCGAGTTAGCCATTAGTCAGTTTGGGGGTAGGGATAGCCTGTTGTGTGTGGATGGTGTAAGAGCTGGGAGCACGAAGGCGGCAGAGGACTCATGCTTAGATTGCCGTTGGCTGGACACTGGATCAATCTTGTCATCTGGAGGAAGAGTGTGATCAAATCTTACTTACCGCATGCCGCCGCTGCGCGTGACGCCGCTTCGATAAATACACCCGTCAAGAGTCGGTTATCACTTGACTTCAAATCAACAGCTGGTGGCGTGTGGTTAGTTCCAAAATCTGCTCGTCAACTTCGGTTATCCTAGTTTGTGCCTGTAAATAGGCACTTGAATTTTCTATCCTCGGCGTAAGTTCACTCCTAAAACAGCGGATTGTGGTTTAGCCAAGTGGCCTTTGATAACCTAATTAATTGCTTTGTACATTTTGGTCAACTTGTGAAGGGAATTTAGCCTTAATATCCTCATGGGATTTCACTATTCTTACCGGTTACTTTTCGATGCAAATGCTTGTTCTTCTCGTGGATGTTAGACCATGGTTAACAGGCTAAATCCTTGGGTTAACGTTCCAAAGAATGTAATGTAGATGGCGCTATACTAAAAATAGCACCTCTGGACATCTTTCGCAGCATTTCATACAATAATTGCCATGCTCAGAGAAAGAAGTGTCGGGATAAATTTAACACCGACACCAGTATCCACGGAACCATATGAGGCAATTGTGTACTTTACTTTTTAGAATTACCCGCTCGAAACATGAGTGTATTCACACTTGTTTGTGCTCTACGGTTAGATATCGCAGAACTACATTTCGAACTCGGAGTGCGGGGACTTCAAATAGAGTGGCAATCCGTACGAAACCGGTCATGTAGCGAAAAGTTAACATAAAACATTGCCCTTTTTCACCTACGGTCCTAGCGAGCGAACCGATCGAGAAGTACTTTTATGTTAATCACAGTCCAGACTGAGGTTGTGTACCTGAAATGAACCCACAGTGAGTTCAGTCCTTAGGAATCACCAAACTTCTGGATAACACTTGCTGTTATTGAGCTACTTCCTAATCGTCACTCCCAATCAGCAGGTTTAGGCTAGTCTGGAAAAGCACCAGACACCAGCGTTTCGACTTTCTGGGTCTCGTCAGTGGTGCGCCTCCCAGTAATATAATATCTGTTCCTATAGCTTCTAAGTCCTATGTCGTACATAGGCGCTGTGCGGAAGGTCCCAGCTCGTGAGGCCAGCCACCGTCCTGTGCCCAGTTTATAACTGGCATGGCAGTGGAAGATGAGCCGCGCTATATCATAGTCAACTGTCAATCACTCTGGTCCGCGGCTGTCACCCATGGCGAAGTGGCACTAGCTGCTGGCATCCGGAAGTCAGGGGGTGGAACCCGCGGGAGTCCGCTGGGAGGCGCACTGCTGACGAGACCAGAAGGTCGAAACGCCTTCGTTTGGTGCTTTTCCAGACTAGCCCAAGCCTGGTGATTGGGAGGGACGATGCTAAATTACCTGAAGTATACAAAAATCCTCACTACTATTTATCAGTAGTTGCGGTTATGTTATTTACCGTAAAATTGGCCGGTGACCGAGTGGTCTGCGTGCCTGGTTTGCAACCCTAAGGTCACCGGTTCGAATCAGCGTAGGGGTGGGCGTCCTCGCGGTGTGCTCCGCCTGCGCGCGACTTGTGGTGGTCGCGCGGCAACGAAGTGCCGTTGCGACATACAGCTGACACATTATTTTTTCATTACGGTAATAGCTTTGATGACTATGTAAGGTATAAGTTGGTTCAGAGATAAATTGTTTTCCGAGCATTCAGTACCTTTCCATACATGAATCAACACTTCATGGTTACGTTAGAATATTGTTCGACGGTTTATAGCAGCTCAAAAAGTGTGACCGCATTACACTGGAATAAGTACACAGGGAATTCACAAAACGCATCCTAGGTGCTTCTTCAAAACTGGAATATTCCGAACGATGTGGTAAACTCAAGCTTGGTCTACTCTGGCTACGATGCATTATGCAACATCTAATTATATTCTTTAACAGCTTGCACGGAAATATGCATGTTTCCAACCTCAACATGGCAGTAATGCAATCAGCAGTCTGCGACACACGAAACAAATAAAACTGATTGGCGGCATGCAAGTCCAAAACCAGCAGGTCTGCCAACGTTTTCCTCAACAGGTACGCCAGAGTCCAGAATTAGCTACCACTCAGAATACCAGCCTGCGCTCTCAAACGTGAATTTCAAAGAAACACCAACACGTTATTGTTTGTACAGAATGTGATCAAACTGTTTGATTGTTCCACAACAACAAGCCAAGCGTACGAACAGGGTCCAGGTTTCATATGACCCAGCGTATGTTTCACAATCATACTATCTCCTGTGGTTTAGCTGTTTTATATGTGAAAGGTTAAAGGCCGGCCAACCTCATTTTCATCCAGTACACCATTTATTATATCATCGCTATCCTCCCAAACGTCATTATCTGATCTGAATTTCAATTTGTCTATTCCACCTTTGTGTAGTATGAACTCACCCGATCATACCGATACCTGCGTATCTCGCATTATAGAGAATAAAAGTCTGTTCATTTATATACTGCGATGGGTACTCACGATTTATCACGGTCACATGCCGTATCACAAGTGGGTGCAGAAGGTGACTGGCTTGGTCACACGTATTGCCACTTCTTCACTTTAGGACGAACCTACCCTTCCGTTTTCTTTTCGGCATCTATAGGCTGTCATTGACAAGTTCAACAGAACCTAGTTTGTTTTTCTTGACTGTACCAAGCGGCACTTGTTTTTTAGGCAGGAAATTTGAAATATCTGTTTGGTCTCCCTTGATAGCGTTTGTGTTACCAGGCTGTCAAACATCGGTTTTCTAAACCACGTTCTATTCCAGTAGTGCATCAACTAGCTATTTCCAACCTACTACCTACCATCTTGGACTATTGGAACCAACATTGAGTGGTAATCTATCTCAGTTTAAACTGGTCCTTAGTAATCTCTTTGCGATTACTGGGCACACTTGACAAGGATTACGTGTTCCGTTTGTTATCGAGATGGTTCTCGCATGTGTAATCCCTGAGATTTTGGCATACACTGAGCTGTTTTACTTTTATAAGGGTAAGGAGGTTTGAACTCAATCAGAGGGCTATCACACGGCCATTTCATCCTTTCGTGAGTTATCAGCAGTAACTTGAGGGTCATTGAATTGTGAGCGGCGCTATGTCACCTCTCGCAACTTGGTCATGCCGGTCGTTTCCGTGCCCCGTTGTTTAGTGTTATTAATCACAGTTTGGTAACAGTCGGGTTGCAGGTTCTAACCGCTTAGGGGTGGAAGGGACTGTACACTGCTGACACTTCCCCCAAAAGAACGAAACGGCCGTCCGGGGCTTCTCCGTAGATGAAACGACTGTCTGATATATTTCAATTTTTTTTTGCTCTTGTCATGGAACCATCCTAACTATCACTATCTCTGATCTTGACGCCCTTCATATAATTCAGTCCATAATTGTTCCATTGGTAAACTGATGCATAGATATAGAGCTCTCCTGGTCAAGAATCTGGAACGGCCACTCGGTGATGATAGGCGAAAAGCCCACTTCATCAGCTGAAGATTTACTCTTCATGTGTGCTTGACACACATTTTTGAGTTCACTCAAGTTGGGTGCTTGTTGGTTGCGGCTCCAATTGATTCGCATCGCCCGCGGGTGCTGCTCCCTTACTTGTAAATTCATCCTGAGATTATTCCGTTTTACGACGTCTCTTCTTTGCATTTCATCGTACCCACCAGTTTCCTACCCGTATTGACAGCTGCATGCGTTCTTACTGTGTGGAATGCTCGGATTCCGCCACAACGCTCATTCTCTGTGAGATAAATGTTCAAAGCGTGATGTGTTGAAATCGACAGATTTTCGCTCCCTTTTACAATTCCTTTTAAGCCACTGAGTCCATTTTTTTCCTTTATTCCAGCTTATAATAGCCACTGTGGTGTCCTATTTTGTACAGTTAGAAGCGAAGTACAACGTCAGAATTGTCGGTCCTCTACCTAATGGGTGAGTCGAATGCATGACCTAAGGAAATATATGTTTTCAGTCCACCAACGATAACCCGAATACCCAATGGCGAAGGATTTACTCACCATTAGCCCATTTACCACTATAGCAAACTTGTCAATGAGCATAACGGAAATTAAAGCAAAGGAAACGAGTGAAAATTTATGCAGACTTTGGCAACTAGACCAGGCAGATACGGTACGAGGGCACCACTGACCTCATAAGCTGCATAGGTTGGTTTTCTTTAACCATAGTTGCCAATCAGAACAGAAGTAGTGACTACTTCGGCACTGAAAAATGCCCATTTGTTAGTTATTTGTTTCTCAATAGCTGAACCTTTGCTACTGTGACTCTTGGTCTTCTAAGCTGACTACTAGGAGCAACAATGTTCAAAGCAAGCGTCATATAACAGCCCCTCTGTTTACAAACGATGAGTTATAAACCGACGCCACCTCTCTCTCTTGTTTTACTATGCTTTTGCATATGTTGAGTTTTTGAGCTAATTCACCTGATGCGGCAGCTCTAGCGTGCGAGAGATTGTCCAACTAAAATAATCGATACTACCGGGCGCATCCTTAGAAAAATAGATAGCACTGATTAAATTGTGTTGGATTGGGCACGTACTACGTGTGCCGGTCACCGCTTACTGAGGAGGGCGTTGTTTTGTCTGCCAGATGTAGGGTGGCGCGAGGCTCGAGACGGAAAAAAGTTGACTTGACAGCGGGAAATGAAGCCACTGACGACCGAATTCGCTGCCGTCGGTTCGTCTCGCTTTCCAGGCTGGAGTCCACGTGACTCGTCTTGTGCTTGGCTTGAAACGTTCCAGAACATGGCTCGCAACCGACACCATTGGCGCGTCTGCTGTCGTCTAGTTGGATTGCCTTTTTAAAGTGTTTTTTTGTGCTGATTTATCTGCGAGATAATGGCTGGTTATGACGCCGGACAGTAAAAGCCGAAAGGAAGCTGTCTCGCCGATGCTGCCTTATCTTTGCACTATAACCAGCTGTTTGCGACGGTATTTTGTTGACAAGGTGTAAGCACCTTGATCCTGAATGTCTGCTTAGGGCATTAAGGTTTTCTGGTAAGCCCCCCTTCTCTCCCCCTTATTATTTTTCGTACCGTAGATTATCATGGTTGTGTGACAGCGAAGCATCAGTTTAACTGACTGATGTACTGGTGTAGGTGATGATGATGGCGCATCACTATTCGAACCCTTTACTATTTTGTCAGCATACATCATGCCCGATAATCACTTCACAGTCTCATCTCACTAACAGGTCATTCCAAGCCCGACAGCGAAAATATTGGGTCTCTGTATCCACATCTGACAATTTCTGAGTTTGATGTTTAGGACCCTGGAACAGGATCACACTATCATTTTCGTAGACGCAGCCGCTTCTTGGCAAGCACAACCCGTTAAATCTCGTTGAATGGATAGGTGTCTCGCCCTCTGAATACTGACAGCTCTTTCGCCGCATGTGATATTCTACAGTTGTTTATCTAATTGCGGGGTGCCAATATTCACCCAGTTGCTTGCGTTTTAGATGGTGTTGAACTCATGCTTATTAATGGACGACGTTTATTTTATAGTGCCCAGCCTACTAGGAGTACAGTTGTTTCTGGCGATAGACCACGTGCTTTTAATTATGGCCCGTACGACAACAGCGGTGGCACTGAATTGCTAATCAGATAGGTCTGAGTCGTTTAACGTCCACCACTGCCTTTAACTCTACTTTTCCGGCTCTGTCATTTGCCAGGATTCTTAATTTTGTTGATAGTCTCCACTCAGATCCCTGACTGCTTGCTCTGTTAAGAAAAGTGTGCATCACTCCATGACCTCGTGTACGTTTTCATCGGTCTCCCATCAATTGGACGTCGAGAATGGCCGTGAGATGTTATGTAGTAACAATCGGCGGATCGTTCTTATCATGTTTACCACAAGCGCGCTCAATAACGTCAACGGGCTTCTTACCGGCCTTGTACTAGCTGCATTGATGAAGCGGTCTCTTCGATAGTGCGTCTCGGCCGGTGGCCGAGTGGTCTACACATTTGGTTTGCAACCATAAGGTCACTGGTTCGAATCCGCGTATGGGTGGGTGTCCTCGCGGTATACTCAGCCCGCGCGCGACTGGTGGTGGTCGCGCAGCAGCGAAGCGCCGTTACGGCGTACAGCTGACACATTATTATTATTATTATCCATGCCTTAATGGGGATTGCCGGACAACCACATGACGTACAAAGTGGCTGGTTCACATCAACAGTCCTTGTGAGCAGTATGGGGACAAGCATTACGACACAGTCATAATGTTTTCATTTGTCTCAGCTCTACGGATAAGAGGAAGTCGTCTTGTGCTATTTGTGGCTCATGGTAATTCCTCACTATGGGGCTAAGGTAATTTACTAATAACACTGGCCAACAGTGGTTTTGGTGTCAGTGATATAGTGATTTTAGGGTAGTTCCTTATCGCTGGTTCTGAACCTGGTCTCAGTTTTGCTAGATTTGCTCGACCCGTTAGAGTGTGGTGCACCCACATACTGTAATAGAAAACGGGAGAAGGTTTAAGTCGAAGAATCATATGCAAATTGTTCCTTATGTTAAAATTCAGAAACGGTTATAGTCTTGTTGACACATTTAAAGAAATAATCTACTTAGCTCATATATATATATATCCTGACTTACTTCCTGAAAAAGCGTTGTATGTGCAATTTCCTGATATGTATTACATCTGGAAAGTTACCTAGGATGTTCCAGCAATAGTCCGCCGTCATACGCCTTTACCCCTGCCCTGATACCTCTTTTCTCTCCCTTTAATTTTTTGATAGAACCTCTCATCTTGCTCTTCCATAAACTTACCAAGATTATCCGGGAATCCCTCTAAGTGGCCATCGAAAAATTTGAACTTTATGGTTATTTCGAAACCCAGTGTTTCAAATTTTTGCAAATAAAATCTCCACCACCTCTTCATAGTTGCTTTGTTTATGGTTACCCTGGAATCTCTGGACAGTGGAGACAAAAACCATCCTACGAAGTTGTTTCAACAGTGTTCACATATGTTCTAACATTGCGATGGTTATTGCGATGTTGAAGTTGAGGACCATCGTAAAGTCTGCTTTCAATTTCTATATACTCAGTTCAGGGAATGATCTGCATATCTACTTGCAACAAACACCATGTTTGTGCAGTAGTCTTAACGACGTGTTTCATCAGTTCCAATTGTATATAAAATCGTGGGAGAATAATATTTCCTCTATCAGCCAAAAGCTGTTTACTGCGCCTTAAGTAGAGGTGTCCATGCTGTTAACCTAATCTCTCATACTTTGCAATGGCTGTTGAACGATCGCTGTGTCATAGAAAAGCACTCACATTCGAGATGTACCTCTAATATTCCAAACATTATGCGTTTATGTTTGGTGCACGTGGAGCATAAAGTAATATTTGCAATTTCTTGAACGGCGGCAAGATTGATCGAAGTACCTTGCACCATAGACAACGCCAATCACTACCTATGTGGTTTTCTCGCTCATTAACGATTCTGCACTCATACCAACTAAATAATAAAATTACGCTGCTCCGTCTCGTGTAACCGTGATTCCATCCACCTGTAGGTCAAACGGTCGGCTAATCCAAGTAGACGGTAAGCGATTCATCCTCGTTCAAATCGGCCTCACTCGTATAAGTGTCGGATTCATTTTAATTTTAGCTGCTCCAGGAGCGTTCGATAAGTTGCAATCGATGTCGCAGTAATCATATTACTTTACACTCTGCCACTAAGTTAGGTATTTGAGTTCACATCATTTCATTCCCTCAGCTCACACCCTATTTCGTTTCTTCGTCCATCATTCACGGTGTACAACTCTTAGTTCATTGCATAACTGACCTGTGGCCAGACATTACGTCACTAACTAGAAAGTTCGAATGCTCGATTTTCGCACCATCGTTGAAAGCATGTGCACAGTGAACGGGGTCAAAAGACTAAAAATGTATGTTATGCTCGATTGGTCGCTCTTTGGTAATATTTCACTTGCGATAACCTTAGGGCTACTCTGGAACATTGTGTTTAACCCAATATTACTCAAAACCGTAAACCGCATTTGGTCCAAAAGTAGTCAATTAAGTCACTTTGAGTTCAACCTGGACCGATTGGCGCACCATTTACTTTCATTTACACGCGGGGAATCTGCATTTGGAAACTACAGTAGATTACAGTACCAGTTTACCTATGAAACGTGATGACACAGCTTATTATTTCTTTACCGCAAGCAACATTATCAAATCTAGTGTCGCGGTGCTTTATTGAAGATGACCTCGACTGCAGTCACACATCTCCGTAGCACTGGCAATGTGTTCACGAGTTCAGAAGCCAACTTTAAGCATGTGTAACCCCTTCGTGTAGCCTTGATTTCATGTGCTTCTCTGTCGTTTGGATCCTCTCGCGCAACGCTTTATTTGACGTACTTTGTTTGGTTCCTAAAAGATAATGATCAAAATTCGTCCTGATTGTCATTCCGTAAGGTCTATCTACATGTAGGCAATGATGTGACATCTACATTAACCTTTGCAGCCTAGTTCAATCGATTAACATCTACTTAACAAAATAAAGAAAACATTTACTTTATTTGTTACAGAGAATCTTCGAACCATTACTCAAACTCCCTTTCACCTTCTTCATTTGTGAGCGTTCCGTTGTAGGCATAAAGTTTCCCCTGCTGGTCCACAGCACAGCTCGGTAGCTGAGGTATTTTTCATCTCCAGCTGTTATGTAAAACGATGATGACTGGGCCATTTTAGCTGGAGCATTATGCCCAACCATGCAGATTATGCCTGTCATACCGACGTCTATCCCTACTGCAGGTTGCCCCAACCCGTTTTGCCGGACTTCACGATCGTACCAGAAATTTTCTTGGAAGCCGTTATCGTGTCACTTGTAGCAGTCACTACTACCGTGTCTTTGGTCAAATTATACGCAACTCGATTCGGGTACGGTGTGCACTACACTCAGGTTGGTCTCATGGCTTTACTGAAGTTGACTGTACGTGCGAATATTCTGTTCTGGCAAATCGGATTAATTTTGTGAGATTAGTACTGTTGTTTATGCGAGATGAACCGCTGCCACTAATCGTTTTGTCACGTTTCCTTATCTGCTTCGTTGAAACACCTTAGGGATTATCACCTTCTGCTCCATTTATGCTAGGTTTCAGGCTAGAGTTCATCTCACTACCAGCAAAACAGTCATCTTTGGGTGCAGAATTTGTCATCTCAGGAATGCGGGTAAAGGAAGAACTATGACTTAACATCTGTTTTCCATTCCGTGTCACTAGTACGCGGTACTTTATTCGTAGTTGGTGAAGATTTTTGTCCAACCCGATCTCTTCAGGTCCCGGAACGTTCCCTCGGGTATCGTTTCCCACGTTTTGTATTTCAGCTTACAAGTATTATCTCACTAAAAACGCTTGCATATTAAACACGTACGTCAAGCGGTGCGGTCGTTGATGAGAGGTAACCTCAGCTCTTGTAATCAGCAGTAATACCACTTCGTTTGATCGATCTGTCACATACGGTTTTGCTATTTCATTGGTGTTTTCTGTTGTTTCAGGAAATGCTCGCTCTTGGAATGTCAAACATTTTTGGTGGATTCTTACGCTGTCATACTGCGTCTGCAGCCCTTGCCCGTACTAGTGTGTCGGTTAATGCTGGAATGCAATCACAAGTAAGTTCTGTTTCTTATAGGACCGCATATGTACCATATTTCTATATTTATTTGTATCTCACCGCCTGCATACTTTTCAATATCTGCCCCTCACTAGAAATAAGAATAGCTGCGGTGGTGTGCATATTGAAAGTGGCCATGTGGACCTTCTGCCGTACCACAAGCTATATCCAGTATAAGCCCGAAAGACTAAACCTGGGATTGTTCATTGTTGGGTCTTGGGATCCTCAAGATTCGATTCAGAACCTGCCCGTTATTTACATGAGGGCCACAAGTACGCAGGGCTGATGTTAGGCTGTAACTAAGTCCATGATGTACCCGTCGTTTCATCCTGGCCCTTTACCAGGACTGTGATCCCTGTTCTTCCTTCAACAATACTGGTGTTCTGGAGCCAGTGGTCGAGGTAGCGACATCTTATGAACAGTTGTCCTGTTGACTTTTGCGCATAGCATGACCATACCTGACATATCACTTGATATTAACGTTCACTTCACGTCAGCCATTAAGTTGTAGTCCAGCTGAAGCGGTACGGTTTAGCATATACCTTATCAGACCCAACACACGCAATGAAAACTATCGCGTAAGTCGGTCCTTTGGAGACAAATGGTTTATTCGGCTAAAGTTGACAATCGAAAATCACGGTGCTAAATGTCGTTACTTATTGATCAACCGCTTACCTAGACCAACTTGTTGTACCAACGAAGCCACCTTTTGATGCAATTGAATGAACAACGATGAGCACACGCGAACTTCGCCCACTTAGCAAAATCGTGCAGATGGAAAAGTACCCCTGTTGCGTCTAGAGATAGAATCCGTGCGTTCTGCTCTTATGGGTAGTCTGACTTATCCCACACATCCATCAGTTTACTTTGACTAGACAGTCCCATCACAGTAGCATTTTGGAGTTGGGAAACTTGCATGGTTAACCACTGCATATATTCATATGGTCCAAAGAAATTTGCATTTGTCAGTGAGGCGATGAATTATTGCAGTACCTGCACTATGTCAGTTTTGTCTTGCTTCTCTTCCAAAATTTCCTACCCGATTCCCCATACGACGAAAGATCGTTTAACCTCCTCGACACAATGTGTAGGTATGTACGCATGCGTAAGACTTTATTTTCAAATTTTGTGTACAAATGTACACATATCCTCATTTTCATAATTGGGAATCGACAATCAAAATTATTCGTTCAGTATATCAAAAATCGGGTGCTGCACTGTCAACACAAGCATTAATTTTCGGGATCAAAGTTCTTTCCAGTGTACGAAAGGATTAGGCACACCATACTGCACAGCGTAAGGAGACGTTACCACTATGATTGCGCAATGCGCGATATATGCTGGATGGTAGAGTCATTACTCTACTCAACGCCATTGCAGATGTCACGATTGTCGCACCATCCTGCTGTCACACCTGCGCTTTCCTGCTGCCGTTTCTGTATTTGTCACTTGGAATACCTTGTTGCACATTAGCTGTAATATTGGCACATCTAGTACTGGAAACTACCGATTATCTTTGGCATTGGACAGTGGACTTGGACTGGTTTCCATTTTTGGTCTTTCACTTAAACTTTTCCACTGCTGTTCGCTCCCTTGTCTGCGATACATGCGGTTTATGCCATCGTATCGCCCATATGAAGCAGTTCAAACCTCCAATAACCATCCATCGTACCGGTTGTAGGATGTAGAGATAAAGCATTCAAAAGTGGTTATGTCGCTCACGACAGCGGACTTTCAACTGCGGACATAGTTTTGCGCCATTGACCTCCACATGTTCGTTCCAGAATACAGAACACCACTGAATGCGTAAATTAAAAGAATGGGGCTGCTTCTCTTTTAACTTTCATTCCAGTATTTTCAAAATGTTATTGCTTGAACTGATTTTCGAAGAAACCCTACTGGATATTTTGGACCGTTTTCTTACGCCTTTTGCCGCGTGCATATGATCTACTGGCTTCCACTATCGTGTTCGACAGAGACGGGATGACGTGGCCAAGTTTTCTGTCCCAAACGTTCTCCGCGCATTTCAGGATGCCTTGACCTCAAGGCTGAAGACTGGTCCATGCACAGTCTTTGAAAACAAAATGCACACACATCCGCATCGTCATGTACAACTCCGCAACCCAAGTCAGTGGCTTCACCAGTAATCTTGTCAACCACTGGATCTCTGCACGATCCCTCCAACTTCTCGAGGCCCGTCGAGCAATTCCTGCTAGCCTTAAATATTATTCACTACGCAAGACTACTAGCGCTAAGCTCAAACAGCTTCTCCGGGAAGATCGCGAGGCCTGGTGGATGCAGCGGGTCATTGAGATGGAGCAAGCGGCTACCTCGGTGAATTTCCGTAAGCTTTTCCTCCTGATCCGATCTACTGGCGACAAAAGGCCGACTGTAGGCGAACTTTTATGCGAAAGCAATGGCGAGCTAATCAACTGTCACAAACGCCGCTTTGGGCTTTGTGCCGAATATTTTGAGCAGCAGTTTGCTTTGCCAGCAACATCGATGAGTTCCCCTCCTGGAGTCCAGAGCGCTCCCTGGTGTGTAAACACTTCACCACCATCTGTGGTTGAGGTTGTCCATGAGCTTTCCCTCATAAAGCGCTGCGAATCACCTGGCCAAGATGAACTCCTCCCGACTCTCTTCGAAGATGGTGGCCCATCACTTGTCAAGGAGTTAACTTCTCACCTCCAAGAGATCTGGATTTATCCCATCTGGTTTGAGCCCAGCAGGTATCGTGCTCGTCTACAAATAGGGTACCCGGACTGAATGCGCCACCCACAGAGGGATAAGTCTCATCTGTGTTGCTTCCAAATTACTCGCAACTCTGTCTTTAGGAAGTTTTGTCTGGTACGCGAACAGAGCATACGGGAAGAGCAAGCTGGGTTCCGCTCAAATCGGTTGCATCCATCACATCCTTACACTCCACCAAATGCTCGAGCGTCGTCAAACCTTCGGTCTGCCAACGATCTTAGACATTCGAGCCGCGGTTGACTCAATTGACAGAGCTGCTCTCTGGAGTTGACTACTGAAAAGGGGAGTGCACGGGAAGTATGTCACCTTACTTCAAGCCATCTACTCTCAAACCTCGGGCCGAGAGCAGTTGTACGGCGGACTTTCTCCCCCTTTAGTATCACTAGTGGCCTGAGGCAGGGTTGCCCAGCATCCCACTTCTTGTTCACTTTCGTCATGGACCAAATCCTGGAAAGCGCTCTAGAGAACTGCAAAGCCAGCGGCACCGAGCTGCTTCCGGGGGACCGACTTCGGGATTTGGGGTATGCAGACGACATCGCCGTAATCGGCAATTCCTCACAGGCTGCCCAAAATGTCCTGTGTAGGTTGGAGGTGTCTGTCTTCCAGTTTAGAATGAACTTCACACAATCGAAGTGCAAGGTCTCTCTGCACTAATATATATATAATATATTAAATATATAATCTATATATATGTATATATATCGTTAGTGGCATCTTCGTCTCGGATTTGCCTGTCACTGTGGCCAGCCACAGGACGCCTGCGCCTACAGAGGACCACGGATGGCTTGCGCTGCACCACCCACAGCTCCATCCACACACCCCATATCCAGTGTAAACCCGAAGGAATAAGACCGGGAGGCATGCGGATGGGAGCCACGTTTCATCAACGGAGCCGGCCCACACTCCTTCACAGGCAAACACAAGCACGCTGTATTTGGGAATCAAGCGCACACAAGGCGGTGGCTGGACCGTAGTCCGCTCCACACTGAGTGCATGGAACCACTCTTTGATCCTAACACGGCCACAAGGACCGTGCACCCCGTCCCCTCCAGCAACGACCAACTGTCTCCTGGAGCCAGTATGGACGAGGTAGTGGGTAATAGACAGGTAGGCACCTTGTCAACATGCACATCAAGCGCAGCCACACCGGGGATATCAAGCAACAGCCAATCACTTGAGAGAAAGATAAAATAGAAAATAAATCGAGTAATGCATAAGGAAACGGTGACATAAATCTTAAATTAATGAGCATATGAAATAAGTTGTTTACAAACGAATCCGAGATAAGTTCACGAGGTCAGAAAGTATATTTACGGAAATGCCACAAACACGAAAATGTTATCGAAATCAACTACAATTGGCTTAAGCGAGTTGTGCAAGTTTATCGAAAAATGTACTGGAAGACATTTATATGAGAAAGAAAAGCATTAGGACAAAATTGAAAACCCACCACCTGAAATAAAGAGACTTAGCATGCAAGCACGCGGTTAGTAAATCGAATGCAGCGTACCTACAAACGCTGCGCCGGTTCTGCCTACGTTCTCTGCAGGACCCGTCGTCGCTTCGGTAGTGGTCCCGAGTGGCCTCGCTCATGGCTCACTAGGCCTGCCTGACTAAGGCACTCGCGACCGCATGTGCTACAGCACCATGCGCTCGATGTCGATGGAGTACAATCCATCGGTGCTTGCCGCTTCCGCAATTGCCGCTTCTTCTCTGCATGCATGGGGTCTTTCTCCCGCACTTCGGCAACTGCCTTCGTGATTAGATCGCGCCATGCACGCCGATCAACCGCCTTCGATTCCCATGATCTGCAATCAAGATTAGAACGTGTGAGGCTCACTTTGATCATGTCCTGGTAACGTAACTTTGGTTTCCCCACGTGCCGCTTCCCAATACTCAGCTGACCGTATAAGAGTTGTTTCGGTATCCGCGTCGAATCCATACGGCTCACATGACCGAGCCACCTCAGGTGTCTCAGTAAAAGTATGCAGTCCACTGCATACATCCCACTTCGGCGCAACACTTCCGTGTCTGCAACTCTGTCGCCCCAACCGATGCGCAAAATTCGTCGCAGACACTGCTGATGGAACCGCTCGAGATATCGCACATCCCGACGGTACATCGTCCACGTTTCACTGCCGTATAGAAGAACGGACAGTACCATGGATTTGTACACCATCAGCTTCGTGCCAATGGTAAGCTGATGGTTGTTCCACACTCGGTACTCAAGCTTCCCGAATGCCGCCG